CTCTTTCCACACTGTTGGCAGGTGTAAGGCTTCTCTCCCGAGTGAATTCTCATGTGCCTTTTGAGGGCTCCTTGTTGAGCAAAGCTCTTTCCACACTGTTGGCAGGTGTAAGGCTTCTCTCCCGAGTGAATTCTCATGTGCCTTTTGAGGGTTTCTTGTTGAGCAAAGCTCTTTCCACAATGAAGGCAGGTGAAAGAGCTGTTAGATTTGGTTTTCTGAGCTCTTTTTCGTATAGAAGCCGTTTTAGTCTGTGTGGCATTTTCACCAGTTATGAAATCATGGTCTTTCTCATACTGATCTGTCTGTTCCATTTCATTCAGATCTTTATACTCCTCTTTCAGCACCAGCAGGTCTAAAGCAAAAAAAGATAAATACAAGTTAACCACAGTTTAAAGCCACAAAGCAAGAGATATGAAAAGCAACATGAAAGCATTTAAGGCCGGGACACACCAAGCCGACTTCTAACAACTAGCGGCCACAAAAGCCGATGGTATTGTCTCCTTGCGTCAGCAGCATCTGGATCAAAATGCTGCGATTGAACACACCATACAGACCTCAGCCAACTGCAAACTAACACGTGCATTCTGTGCGAGAACAATTAGCTGTCTATATCAGCAGCTATCAATAGTATGTATTTGTCATTCAAAAGGAGAAACCGAAACAAGGATATACAAGATATACGAAATGTAAAAAAAGCAGCACTTACTTACCATTTTGAATATCAGTTATGTTGATAACTTTATTCATTTTTAGCCGCTCATGTTGTTATGAAAATATTCGCATACTTGGGTAAGATCACGTAACATTAGAACAACCCCCGGTCTGTGCCGCCTTCATTTACTCGTTTTCATCACTTTCACTTGAATTCTCGGGCACTGACTAGTTCGCTAAACTGAACATCCAATCAGAGTTCTCACTCTCGCCGACGGCCCTGACGCTGATTCAATATGTTAAATTGGGCAAACTGCCGCCGACATAGAGGTCTGCTACCCGATCTGAGTCCAACAGGTCTCTAAATATTCTTGGGTTTGGGTCTGGCTTGTAGCTAAACTAAAATTGTATGCAGTAGGCTACGATGCTTTCATAGATGCATGCATACACACATAACTGAACACAGATATCTTTATCTCTTTTATCTCCTTGCACTGGCTACCGGTTGCAGCTCGCATCAAGTTCAAGACATTGATGCTTGCATATAGAACAGCCACAGGCTCAGCACCTGCCTACTTCCACTCACTATTACGAATCTCCTCCTTTCTTTCTCTTTATTTATTCCTTCCCTTTCTAGCTTGTACTTATTTGTACAATGACTAAAACATCTCGGTTACGTATGTAACCCTCATTCCCTGAAGGAGGGAACGGAGACGTCATGTCGGATGACCGATGAATTGGGATCTCGTTTAGAGAGACCAATCCACTTCGAGTGTAAACTAAATGAGCCAATGCACATTGGCATGC